TGCTTTACTGGCAGTTGCTAGGCTGTGTGGGGAGAAGAGATAGGAATTTAGAAGCAAGTATTGGCAGGAATTTGCAGAGAAAGTTGGGAGTAACAGAAACTTGAAGGAAATCTGGCAAGACGTAAATAAAATAAGGGGTAAAAAGCATAATTTTGTTGCACATCCAGACCCGCAAGGAATTGCAAATGGGCTCGTAAATAAATGAGCGGAAGCTGCCAAACTTAGTTCATTACCCGCTGTAACGAGAGAGTCATTAGATTCTTGGAAAGATCTAAGAAAGGATTTTATACTTACAGGAGGTAACAGTGGTGATGTCACTTGCACAGGTATTACCAGAGAAGAACTAATAACGGCGATTAAAGTTGGGAAATCTACCGCCCCTGGGGAGGATGGAGTAACTTATGAAATACTTAATGAACTTGCCATTATGACGAAAAGCCCACGTTTAGACCTAATATTAGTTATTACTTAATATTAGTTATATTACTAATATTAGTTATTACTTAATATTAGTTATAAAGAGGGCAGTATTCCCAGTAAATGGAAAAAAGCTATGATGATCCCTATCCCTAAAGCCAATGGAGAGTACAGACCTGTGTCTTTAACCTCGTGTTTTTGTAAAATGATGGAGAGGATCATTTTAAATAGACTTTTATATATAATAGGTGATTAGCTGTCTAGTAATTTGTTCGGGTTCCTCAAAGGAAAAAGTACCTCTGATTGTATTATGAAATGTCTAGCTAATGAAAATGATTATTATAGAATTTTTATTGATTTACAAGGAGTTTTTGATAAAGCCAACAAAGAGGTTATTTTATATGAATTAGCTGGTCTTGGTGTTAAAGGGAGATTATTGCGCTAAGTAGGGGATTATCTTTACGAAAGGAAGGCTCAGGTGTGGTATCAAGGTTGTATGTCAGGTGTGAGGTCTTTTGAACTCGGCACACCTCAGGGAGGAGTGTTGAGTCCCACCCTGTTTAATGTACTAATGAATAAGATAGCATCTGAGAGATACTCAAATGGGGTAACTCCGGTCATATATGCCGATGATATTTTGTTTCAGGGCAAAGATATTTCAAAGGTTCAAACAGTGTTGGACAATTTCGGAAACCTGTGTCACCATATGGGACTGGTGGTTAATGAAAACAAAACTAAGTTTGAATGTAGAAGTCGGAGGCCCATTATATTGAAAATAAACGGTAAAAATATAGAGAGAGTTAATATATGTATAAATATTTAGGCATATATGTTGGATATACCCATGAGAGTTTGGAAGCTGAGATGAACAGACTGTTGGGTCAATGTCGGAAGAGATTACAACCTCTGAAGGCCTTGGCATGCTGTGGAAAGGGAGTGGGAGTCCATGTGCTACGAATGATATACTTGAGTACTGTAAGATCTCTTATTGATTATGCTGCACCTGTCATTTCTTGTTTTGGTAAAGGTAGGATGGGCAAGTTAGAGAAGGTACAAAATGAAGCCATGAGAATTATCTTAGGATGCCCAAGAAATGCTATGATTGAGATAATGAGGATGGAGTTGAATTTGCAGAGTATTGGGGATAGAATTGAAGAGATAAATGTAGCCTCTGCCATTAGATTAATGAGAGGTGTGGGAGCTAATGAATTAATCCTCTCGGTTCAAAAGGTGGGAAGTAGTGAACAGTGTATGTTGAAGAAGAGAGTATATATGAATAACTTATGTTCTAATGTTATTAAGTATGATGTTATTCCAGAGTGTATTGCTGTGCCTAAGAGAAAATTCACACCACCATGGGAGGATTGTAATGTAGATGTAGTAATTACTTCCTTGCAAAAGAAAAAAAGTATGTATGAAATAGGAGAGCTGAGAGCAACATATGATTGTATAATTAGAAAACTGCGTACAGAAAACACTCTACATGTATATTGTGATGGGTCAGTAGCTAGGGACGGGAAGGCAGGATGTGGAGTCTTGATCAGGGAGTACACTGATATCGGCACTGTAGATACTGTTATTGGACGCCGCTTAACTGACAATGTCTCTTCAACGCAGGCTGAACTCCAAGGTGTATTAGCAGGATTACAGGAAGTAGTCAAATGTGGTAAAAATGCTTGCTTCTTTATTGACAGCAGAGGAGCGTTAGAGTCTTTAAATAGCAGACGCCCAGTATATCAGAATATTGTGATAGAGTGTAGAGAGAATGTTAAGAAATTAGAAAAAACTGGGTATAAAGTAAGATTCATGTGGATCCCTTCACATGTGGGAATACTGTTGAATGAGATAGTTGATGAGATAGGGAAGAGAGCCACTGAAAAACTCTTGTTGATGTTGTATGTCAGATAACCTTGAAACAAATAAAAACAAGAATCAAGATGATCCAAGAGGGTGAAGAAATGATAAAGAGAATGGCAATGGTGGACAGTAGTAACACACTTAAGAATTATTCAATAATAAATACAAATTCGTCCTTCACTTATGGTAAAGGAAAGTCTATTTGGAAGGATTCAATTTACATGAGATTAAGATTAGGATACAAATATATCTGGCAATACGGTGTTGATGTCAGTGAAAAAGATAAGGAGTGTAAATTATGTAGTATGCCGCACGCCCACACCTTAGAACATTATGTATTAGAGTGTCAACTTATTGAAAACTATAGAAATAAGGAAATAAATAGTGTACCACATCAAATTGTTTGGATGTGTGATAATGGTATGATAGACAGTATACTTAGGAGCTACAAGAATTTTGCCCCAAGAGTGTAACAATTATATGCTGTACTTACTATATTAACCTGCAATGTTAAATGGCATTCTTGTAATGTTATTTGTCTATTTGTACTCACAGCATTTGTGCGCCCCTTGAGGGACTTGAAGTAGAGGGGGGTAGAAATAGCCTAAGCTACTCTATCCCTTTGAGATGTATTTATTGCTTATTGGCCGACCCCTCACAGTGTTCAAGAGAGAACTGGATAAGCACCTCCAAAGGATACCTGATCAACCAGGCTGTGACTCATACGTCAGGCTGCGAGCAGCCGTGTCCAACAGCCTGGTTGATCAGTCCGGCAACCAGGAGGCCTGGTCGACGACCGGGCCGCGCGGACGCTAAGCCCCGGAAGCACCTCAAGGTAACCTCAAGGTATCTCAATAAACATACTTGAACTTGTACAGAGGCACATAATGGGCTCAGTGACTGAACAATACAATTCATTTAGCTAAACAAGTTACAATCTTGATGAACTGGTTACAAAATTCAATGCACATCGTCACATCAACAATGGGCTCGAGACCGACCACAAGTGCAGTTTCTAAATTAAGCAACTGACATGTTGACGATTCGTCATCCTTACAGCTGAGTGGACAGCGCTTCGGATTCGTAGTCCCGAGGTTCCGGGTTCGATCCCCGGTGGAGGCGGAGACAAGAGGGCAAAAAGTTTCTTTCACCCTGATGCCTCTATTACCTAGCAATAAATAGGTACTTGGGAGTTAGACAGCTGCTACTACGGGCTGCTTCCTAAGGGGTGTGTAACAGAAAGGAAGCCTGGTCGAGGACCGGGCCGCAGGGACGCTAAGCCCTGAAATCATCTCACGATAACGATGCACGAAATGTTAGTGGCTTTGCGAGAATGTAAAAATATCACTCTAATGTAATCTCACCAACCCATTGTACCTTCTTGTAAATAAATAATAATAATAATAATAATATTATTATATTATTATTATTATTATTATTATTATTACATTTCTTCACGAATTCCAGTCTGTTCTCTCCGAACGACTCGCTTCACGAACGCCAGACTTACTTCATGAACGTCAGACTTATTCACGACCGTAATAGGTGTTGCTTCACGAACGTCAGAGTTGCTTATTTCATGAACGTTTGAAATGTGTCATCCGACTCACCAAATAAGTCACATATTCATGCCTCCTACAAGTCATGTCAAGCTCTGTTTAATCTAAAAAAAAACTTCTGAGCAGCTCAAGCATTGTCTGAGATTCTATTAGTGTTAATATACGGCACGAAAGAGTGAATTGTGACATTTTTCACTATTCGTCTTGCAACGTTTTCGAAAAGGTCGCGTCGTGACGTCACAGGCGCTGGTGTGTGATCCTGGCCGCTGATTGGTTCTTTTGAAGATGGCGCTTCCACCCCCGAGATCGATGCTGTTTTGGTAAAATGTCCCTAAATCTAGGGAAATTTCCCACACGGGCTCCCAAACCTTCGATCTATCATAACTTTTTGTTTCAGTAGTAGTTTAGTACAATAAGGTTTCTAATTTACATTATAGCTTACAAACCACTTGTCGTTTTATTTGCCAGAGGACGGCTGGGAGGAAGGCCGAGGGATGGACACAGCTAGGTTAGTGGAAGCCATTCCATCGCCATTTTCAAAAACCTATAATTATTTCCTCTTATGTTTCCATTTAAAGCATATTACAAAACTAAATTTTCACATTATAATGCATTTTGTAAATAAAAATAGTTTACTGCTGACGAAATTGTACCTGGTACACAGAACTTGAAATTAATTGCTTCAGAGAGCTGTAATATACGAATTTATATGCACCATATATATATAGTTCTTAAAAATATACGAAAACTACTTAATATTTGTAATTAATAACGCTGTTAAATTTAGTGAAAAATCCCAAACACGTTGAAATATATAGTAAGCTTCCTTTAAAAATCAGTATGAACAAAAATCAAAACTAAGCTGAAGTTGTCGTTACGTGGGACTCAGAATATCTTAATATAATTAAATTAATAAAGAAATCAACATAAAATTATAAATAAATAATAATATTGTTATATTAGCAAAAGGTCCCTGCACTAGCCATCGACGGGGTCCGCTACAGCATTATCTCAACGCCCAGATTCAAAATAAATCTGATAACTAATTGTCCTGGTATATCTATAGATGGGTGTAGATGTGTTTATATGGTAGATGGTAGACGGTAGACGGCGGAAGAGGGAGTTGTAGTCTTTGTGTGGTGTGGTGATGGCGGGGGAGGTGGCGGGGAGGGAGGCGGGGGAGGGTGCTGGGGTAGCGCGGGACGACAGACGCGCCAACACTTGTGGTGGGGAGCCAGGTTATGTCCCACGCTGCACCACCACCACCCCGGACATGGAGAAGAGGATAGAACTGGAGAGACGGGGCAGAAGTCCTTCCAAGGTAGGTAGGAGGCGCAGGGGCCGGGCCAGGGCGGGCCTTGACTAGTGTTGGCGACAGTGTAATGAGGAGAGGAAGGAGGTGCGTCACAGAGACGGGCACCGCACTGGTGACGGGTCAAGGGGCCCCTTCCCAACACCTTGACAGGACTGTGTCCTGGGCATGGCGGCTCCCCAGGGCATGCCCTGTCCTCTGCCCTCACAGCCGGGCAGGCTGGTGGTGCCCTGGAAGGTGGGGGAGGGGTGGGGGGTGGGCAGCGGGATGGCAGCGGCGTCTTGAGCCACCTCCGCCAGCATCACCATCTCCCTCCTGGGCATCCCGGGCCACCCTCTCTTCTCCCCTGCTCTCACCTCCTTGTTTACCCTGCCAGGCCACACCGCCCAGCTGCCAGGCCACACCACCCAGCTGCCAGGCCACACCACCCAGCTGCCAGGCCACACCACCCAGCTGCCAGGCCACACCACCCAGCTGCCAGGCCACACCGCCCAGCTGCCAGGCCACACCGCCCAGCTGCCAGGCCACACCACCCAGCTGCCAGGCCACACCACCCAGCTGCCAGGCCACACCGCCCAGCTGCCAGGCCACACCACCCAGCTGCCAGGCCACACCACCCAGCTGCCAGGCCACACCACCCAGCTGCCAGGCCACACCACCCAGCTGCCAGGCCACACCACCCAGCTGCCAGGCCACACCACCCAGCTGCCAGGCCACACGCCACCCAGCTGCCAGGCCACACCACCCAGCTGCCAGGCCACACGCCACCCAGCTGCCAGGCCACACGCCACCCAGCTGCCAGGCCACACCACCCAGCTGCCAGGCCACACCACCCAGCTGCCAGGCCACACGCCACCCAGCTGCCAGGCCACACGCCACCCAGCTGCCAGGCCACACGCCACCCAGCTGCCAGGCCACGCCACCCAGCTGCCAGGCCACACGCCACCCAGCTGCCAGGCCACACCACCCAGCTGCCAGGCCACACCACCCAGCTGCCAGGCCACACCACCCAGCTGCCAGGCCACACCGCCCAGCTGCCAAGCCACACCACCCAGCTGCCAGGCCACACCGCCCAGCTGCCAGGCCACACCGCCCAGCTGCCAGGCCACACCGCCCAGCTACCAGGCCACACCACCCAGCTGCCAGGCCACACCACCCAGCTCCCAGGCCCCAGGGCACACACCACCCAGCTCCCAGGGCACACACCACCCAGCTCCCAGGGCACACACCACCCAGCTCCCAGGCCACACCACCCAGGCCATACGCCACCCAGCTCCCAGGCCACCTGCCACCCAGCTCCCAGGCCACACGCCGCCCAGCTCCCAGGCCACACGCCGCCCAGCTCCCAGGCCACACGCCGCCCAGCTCCCAGGCCACACGCCACCCAGGCCACACGCCGCCCAGCTCCCAGGCCACACGCCGCCCAGCTCCCAGGCCACACGCCGCCCAGCTCCCAGGCCACACGCCACCCAGCTCCCAGGCCACACGCCGCCCAGCTCCCAGGCCACACGCCGCCCAGCTCCCAGGCCACACGCCGCCCAGCTCCCAGGCCACACGCCACCCAGCTCCCAGGCCACACGCCGCCCAGCTCCCAGGCCACACGCCACCCAGCTCCCAGGCCACACGCCGCCCAGCTCCCAGGCCACACGCCGCCCAGCTCCCAGGCCACACGCCGCCCAGCTCCCAGGCCACACGCCGCCCAGCTCCCAGGCCACACGCCGCCCAGCTCCCAGGCCACACGCCGCCCAGCTCCCAAACATGTCACCAAGCAAGCTGTCAGGCCACACCCCCTTAACTCAAATCACATCAACCAACTGGCTCCCAGATCACTTATCAATCACTACAGACCTTAACAATCATCTTGATAGACTTGCCAGCTACCAGACAATCTCATACAGCTGTCAGTTTTCACCAGTAATGTTATGTCATCAGCCAACTGTCAATCTTCTGTCAATTTTTTGTCATTAATCAGCTTCCAGACTTAGTAGGTTAATCACATGACAGTTCCTGTCTATACATACCAAACCATTCCACATTATTTTATCTTCTGGTTATGTATGTATGATACCTGTATATGAAAAGAAAAATATCTGTTACTGATGGGGGTATTGCTAACAGAAAGTCACCCACATGGGGAGCTGCCACCATTGTGAGGAGTGATCTCATCTGGTGTTGCAGCTTCAAGACAGTGCAGTTGCTCTATCTACAATGGCACTGTCCCAGTTGGATTGCTCGCAGGCATTAGATGGAGCTGGCTGGGGCTGTGAAAGTAACCCATTTAGTAGTGCAGAGTATTAAACTGAGGTTGTGTACTCTTGCAATGTTGCTTAGATAATCCAGTAGAATTTCTTTAGCCAAATTCAGATGCTGCGGAGAACTGGAAGGTTGTTACTGCAATCTGAGTCGTTGTGTGTGCATGGAGGCCCCCACATTTGATGGCAAGACACCTTTTTTGTACTGTGGATCATAGACAGTCTTCCTGGCTTGGTGCCTTCTTTTAAAAATTTATCCAAAATCATTTTTTTATTATTTTTTTTTTATACAAGAGTTCCTACGTTCTTGTAAAGCCACTGACATGCATAACATTTCAGGCAGGTCCTTAATCTTAATTTCCCTGGAATATGACCTGCCAAATAATTTAACAACTAGATACCCATTCACTGCTGGGTGAACAGAGGTGTACAGTTAAGGATTGGCACCTAGTCAATCCTCTGGGCCAAGATATGAACCCACAACAAATCGCTCGCGAAGCACGGGTCAAGTGTTACCACTGCACCACTGGGACTGACGTTGAAGTACAGTAAGTGGTTGTACTCACCTAGTTGGGCTTGCAGGGGTTGAGCTCTGGCTCTCTGGTCCCGCCTCTCAACCATCAATCAACTGATGAACAGGTTCCTGAGCCTATTGGGCTCTAACATATCTACATTTGAAACTGTGTATGGAGTCAGCCTCCACCACAACACTTCGTAGTGCATTCCATTTATTAATTACTCTGACACTGAAAAAATTCTTTCAAACATCTCTGTGGCTCATCTGGGTACTAAGTTTCCACCTGTGTCCCCTTGTTCGTGTCCCTCCCGTGCTGAAGAGTTTGTCTTTGTCCACCCTGTCAATTCCCCTGAGAATTTTGTAGGTGGTTATCATTAGATATCATTTCATATAATATCATATCATTTTGTAGGGGGCACCATTATTCATGTAACTGGTGACTATCATGAGATGAACATCTTGGGTAGTAGGTTAACTTAGAGGTATCTGTTGAGGAAGTAAAGAACATCGATGTCTTATCCTTCCTCTTTGGGTCAGTGATAATACTAATGACATTGTAATTGGCATTTGACCCAAGAGGAGCTCCAAGGAGCCTAAAGGGAATTTCTTTTAAATTAAATAATCTCTAACAAACATTATTGATAAAAGATTTTCTGCCTGATATCCCACTTGTGTGTTCATCGGGCAAAACATTTTTACTTGGTTTATAATGTGTAGGTTGGAGATTATTATTTTACACATAGTTCAGGATAAAGTCTAGGTTCACTCCTTGCTCCTGAATTATTCTGATGCCCTCCAGGAGAAAATCTGAGGAACCAGCCAAGGTACTATCATCCAAGAACCAAATGATGAGCTTGACAGGCTATGGGTGACTTCTTAAATGACTAAGCAAAAAGGGGTTACCCTAATGGACTCATTCTCAAGAGTTAATTTTATGTTCACCAAATACTGTACTTTTATAAATACTTCATCAAAACATGCTGTTTTGATTTCAGCATGTCGGCCGCATTCTGGCTAACTGTTCTCGCAGCAGCCTCAGTGACAAGACACTGGAGGGAATTGCCCATTGATTATTGGTCTAATTTCCTCATTCTTCTTTCTGAAGTCACAGAAACATGCAGTACCAAAAAAAGTCATCAGGCCTTTCTGGTAACATTGCTAGTCAGGTGTGTGTGGGTGAATCCAGTTATCTCTGACAGGAGCCTCTGTGTAATGTTACCCAGCGCAGAGTTGAGCATTTGTTTAATGTAATTAGGTCTTGGGGTCTATTAACACTTTCGCGTTCCACAGACTGAATAACTCGTCACTCATTTTTCTACTGAATGTGTTCCAACGACGCAATACTGAGTCACTCATTAAAACATTTTTTAAAAATTTAAATTTTATCAGATCAATCTGGTAGTGGTTTTAAAATAAGCGCCTTTAGATTGCACACAATTTGATACCAAAATCAAAGATATAACTTGAAACTTGATGTCCAAACACTTGAAATATTATAAATAGGCTTATGGTCCGAATATTAAAATATTTGTTAAAATTCTATTTATTGTCCTATTATCTTGGGAGTAGTTTTAAAATGCGCGCCTTTTTATTGCGAACAATATGATACCAAAATGAAAGATGTAACACAAATATTTATGTCAGAACACTGGAAAGATATAAATAAATTTGTGATGATGAGCGTCCAGAATTACAATATTTGTTAAAAATCCAGTTATTGCTCTATTATTCTGGGACTAGTTTTAAAATAATCGCCTTTTTATTGCGAACAATTTGATACCAAAACGAGCGACGTAGCACGAAATTTGATGTTATCAAATTGAACGAGTTGAACATTAGGTTGCAATGTACAAAATGGTGCTCGTTCACAGGTAACTTCAGGCTTTTCTGCGGGGAGGCACTCCAGCCTTTTGTACATTTTATTCATACACATCTGTGGGGAATTTAATTGCGAACACAATGATACCAAAACGAGCAACGTAGCACGAGAATTAAGGTAAAAAAATGGAACGAGAATGCACATGTTACTGATTTTGTGCGTTTTTGCCGACTTTACGCTTTGCTGTTGGGAGTCACGCTAGGCTTTTGGACATTATATTTATACACACCTGTAGAGAATTTAATTGCGAACACAATGATACCAAAACGAGCGACGTAGCACGAGAATTAAGGTGAGAAAGCTGGAATGAGTATACACATTTGGGTGTCACCGCGCGCTTACCCGCACGGAGGGGCCACTATCCCCCTGTCAACCGCGAGTTTCCACGGAGCGCGAAAGTGTTAACCTGCCTGGTGGAAAGCATGAGACTTCTTTATGCACCCAAAATTCATTAACACACTGGTTCTGTTTTGGTGACAATTCGTGGAACACTGTTGCCTCGTGGAGCTCTTGTGTAGGTGTTTGGCTCTAGGGAGCCGGTTGGTCGAGCGGACAGCACGCTGGACTTGTGATCCTGTGGTCCTGGGTTCGATCCCAGGTGCCGGCGAGAAACAATGGGCAGAGTTTCTTTCACCCTGTGCCCCTGTTACCTAGCAGTAAAATAGGTACCTGGGTGTTAGTCAGCTGTCACGGGCTGCTTCCTGGGGGTGGAGGCCTGGTCGAAGACCGGGCCGCGGGGACACTAAAAAGCCCCGAAATCATCTCAAGACAACCTCAAGATAGGGCTTGTACTGCATTGGTGTCTGATAGCACATGAGTGCATCTTCAATGTTGATGACTCTTATTGCACCTACAGTATGTTCTTCCACTTTGCTTATTTGTTACTCTGATTTTGAAAATGCTGATGGATCATTCCTTGCCAAATTATCACAGCTCTGAACCCGACTATCTCATATTGATTTGAAATTTAGTAGGATAGTAGAGTACATATGTAACATGAAAGCTTTTAGCTCTCAGTGATGCATGATATTCATACAGCAGGGTTGCCAATGCAATATGCTTCCAGTGCCAATGCTTCCAGGCTCAGCAAGAAAAAATCATAACCCTTGCCTCTAGCCTGAGGCTGAGCTGAGAGGGTAGATAAACTCTCAAAACCAGCCTCTGTTGTGGAAATTTTTGTAATGTACAGTGTATCAAACATTTCTCCATAATTTCATGTGACAATTGCTAATTCCAGATTACAGAGTTGAACTTGGACAACTGTAAGAGTACATCCATTGTGGGCTTGACAGATGAGTTTGAGAAGCTGGAGGTATTGAGTCTCATCAATGTTGGCTTAACTTCTCTCAAGGGTTTTCCAGCTCTTCCCAATCTTCGCAAGGTGAGGCTCATATGCTCAAAGCTATTTTAATCTTGTCCTTTAGCCTGTGCAAGACTTGGACTTGCATTCCATTTTTAATTCTCACTTTGCCATTCTGTTTTTAGAATACTGTACTTCAGTTCACTAAAGTATTCTCTAAAATAATCTTATGTCCTTATTTCAGACTTAAAATACATCAAGTTGATCTCTTATCTTGTAGTTCAGTTTATGTAAATTAGGAATTAAAATACTGACTAATTCAACTCCATTACCTAGTCTTCAGAGTATTTCCTCTGTTTACCTTGTAGAGGTTTAAACTGGTCTCTCTTTTTGTTTAGGAGCATATTATCATTATAGTTGACATGTTTCAAATAAAAATTCTCATCTCATTGTTACTTTTTCTTCTCCATAGTTGGAATTGAGTGACAACCGAATCTCTGGTGGGTTGAATGCTCTCACCTGCCTTCCCAAGTTGGCATACTTGAACCTTTCTGGGAACAAGATTAAAGACCTGGAAACGCTAGAACCTTTGGTGAGTGAATTGCATTTTCTGGATACTTTAGTGAATCAATCTGTCCATTTATTTTCTTACTGTGCTAGAGCTTTAGGTATGTCAGAACTATGAACTATGTTCATCATAAATTGCAGATTATTTTGTTACTTAGCTTTATGGAAGTTGGTTTGTATAAAGCCTTACATGCACATACCTATATTCCTCAGTTACATAGAATATAGACATGTGCAGGAACAACCAAATCTTGTAAAACCTTATCCAATTGGTTTGACTCCTTTCAAGTATTAAAAAGAAACACTTGGAAAGATTTCCAACAAATTATACATGCCTATTTATCTGACATTCAAGTGAAAAGTTGTTTCCACATTCACCGACAACTCTAGATATTATTGCCTTTACCTCAATAATAACCCATCCATATATAAACTCATTCCTCTGATAAAATCATTGGAGCAGGACACTGGCTTTATCCCTGTCCTGCTCCAAAGATTTTCTCATCGATATATCACATTATTGTAATTTCCATGTGCGTTCCTCTATTTATGTCTGTACAATTTATTATTTCAATTTACATTCAGTGACCTTGTACACCCACTTTCAGTTTACTTCACTTATATGCAAATTACATCCTTGCATAATTTTTTTTGTAAATATAAATCGCAGTTATGTACTGTACTGTGAAAAAAATCTCCAAATATGATGTATCTGCACAAATATAGGTACAGTGTTGGGATTATGAGTATCAGTAGGGCTGGACGTGTTCTGGTGGCCAGCACACAGCCTTAAAATATTGCTTTGGTACTGATCATTGCTACTGTACTGGTACTGACCAGTACCATTGGTACTGACAATATCATCGTATAACGGTTTAAACAATAATTTTCTGGGTTTTACATGTATGAAGCAAATGTGGATATAATAGCTACATGGATGTAAATAAAGAAAAACAAGTGATAAAACAATCAGTGAAACATCCTGAGGTTAAAACAGAAGCATAGGCAAAGTCAAGCACCAGGTGTTGACAAGTGCCAGATGCAGCCTTGCATATACCCAGTGAAATGATAAATATTCACCTATTTTCATGTTTTCTTAAATTTTGCATACAAATTCATTCTAAATTGAAAAATTATTTTTTGGCCTTTTGTATTTTTTGGGCAGGTACAGTATAACCATTTTTTCATAGGTGCTGTTCAAGGGTTAGGAGGCCAGCAACTTCATTAAGGGAGGAAGGAAGGAATGTTTTCTCTTACTCTTTGGCAGGTGTTGAGAGGGTTGGTACTGGGTGTCAGGAAGGTTGGCAGGTGTTGAGAGGGTTGGTGCTGGGTGTCGGGAAGGTTGGCAGGTGTTGAAAGGGTTGGTGCTGGGTGTCGGGAAGGTTGGCAGGTGTTGAAAGGGTTGGTGCTGGGTGTCGGGAAGGTTGGCAGGTGTTGAAAGGGTTGGTGCTGGGTGTCGGGAAGGTTGGCAGGTGTTGAAAGGGTTGGTGCTGGGTGTTGGGAAAGTTGGCAGGTGTCAAGAGGGTTGATGCAGACTTAAACCAATGCTTCAAGAAAATGGGCATGGTAGCATATGTAGAATACATATGCCACTAAGTAATAATTTTCATGATGCAAACTGGAATGAGAATTGCACTCCCATTATAGGGGAAGAAAACAAATAGCAGAACATTTTATATGTTTCACTTTATCCCAACAATGATGAGGAAGGCTATGTAGGGAAATGGAAATGATTGAGCTCAAGCGGAGAGACTCATAAAATCCAAGGGAGGCAAAGAGAGCAAAAGGCCATAAGTGAAATGGAGAGGAACCCAAAATACTTTTTCTCATATGCAAAAATAAGATCAAAAAGTGCATTCAGCACTGTGTCCTTGCATGCAAGGGTGACCGAACTTTCACAGATAACAAAGAAATGAGTGAAATACGGAGGCTTCAGTACAATTCTGTTTTCATTGAACCCCTGAACACATTGAAGATCAATGATCCAAATGAATTCTTCATGAATGTAACACCAACATCAAACCACATATCATATGTCACCCTAACCCCCACTGGACTTAGAAATAGCTATAAACAGTATGCCCATACTCTCTGCACCAGGCTCAGACTCTTGGAATTCTAGATTCATCAAGAAGTTCAAAACACCACTATCACAGGCCCTAAATTTTTTTTGAAGATGGCGCCTAGATACTGGTGTCGTATCTGACATACTTAAAACAGCAGAGATCGTGCCACTTCACAAAGGAGATAGTAAAGCAGATGCAAAAAAATTTAGACCAATAGCCCTAACTTCACACAAAATTTGTTGATAGCGTGCTAAGTAGTAAGATTACAAATCACATGGAATCACATTACATAACCCCAGACAACACAGGTCAGAACAAGGCTCTCCTGCCTCTCACAATTGCTAGATCACAATGACATCACCTTAGGTGCCATGGAAGATGAGCAAACTGTAGATGTAGCATACACACTTTACAAAAGCTTTCGACGAATGGGACGATGATGTTATTGCACACACAATGTGCGCAAAAGGATTTACTGTACTGGCAAAGTAGGGAGATGGATCTTCAACTTCCTAATGAACAGAACGCACAGTGTAATAGTCAACACAGTAAAATTCGGATCATGCTACTCTGAAAAACTCATTCTCCAAGGTACCATACTTGCTTCAATACTTTTTCTCATCCTAAATCAGACAAGTATACAAACTACTGTACTGTATCATCATTTTCAGATGATACTAGGATTTTCATGAGAGTAGACAGTATAGCGGAAACGCAAACCTCCATTCGGATGTAAATCGGGTCTTTCAATGGGCCACAGACAATATGGTGATCAATGAAAATAAGTTCCAGCTCCTGTGCTATGAAAAAAAAAATTGAATCAAATCACACTATAGATTGGCAAAGCAATGTTAAGGATCTAGGAGTAATCATGTTCTTACCTTTACAGACCACAATAAAGTAGGTGTCATGATTGCAAGAAAAATGATAGGTTGGATAACAAGGATAACAAGAACCTTCGATACCAAGGATGCCATATCAATGATGATACTTTTCAAGACACTAGTGCTCTCTAGGGTAGAATATTGTTGCCTATATGTGGAAGATCTTAGGGACTGGTTCCAAATTGGAACATGGAGATGACATCACATGAAACCAGTAGGCATGGCAGGATGTGCAAAATAGCCCCATTGAAAAACAGGTGCAACAGATATGCTGAGAGAGAACTCTTATCAACATCACAGTCCCAAGACTTCAACATTCTCCTGCTACATGTTAGGAGCATAACTGGCCAGCCTCTCACAGTGTTCAAGATAGAACTCGACAAACGTCTCCAAAGAATACCTGATCAACCAGGCTGTGATTCATATTGTCAGGTTGCGATCAGCCGCTTCCAACAACCTGATTGACCAAATGACCAATCGGGAGGCCTTGTCGGAGACTGGGCTGTGGGGCCATTGATCCCCAGAAGCTACAGAAAGTAGATATCACCATCTTTAGAAAATGGGTGAAATTACAATTGTCTGAATATAAGTTCTTAGATGTCTGGTCACTGAACAAAATTCCAAACATGGCTAATTTTTCTTTAATATAGTATGTCCATTGGTTTTGAATGTACACCATCCATTCTTAGTTTTATTTTGTAGAATAACATCTCTTGCTTCATACCATAACTGGACAAAAATTATATACTGTTCACCTAGCAGTAAATAGGTACCTGGGAGTTAGACAGCTGCTACGGACTGCTTCCTGGGGATGTGTGTGTGTGTTTGAAAATTAGGATTAAGGACTTGTCTGAAATGTTATGCATGCTAGTAACTACAAGAATGTAAGAACCCTTGTATATATAAATAAATAAAAAAAAAAAAAAGTAAAAAAAAAATGTAAAAAAAAAAAAACATAAAAATCTGATCTGTGCAGATATTCCCTTTCTTATACCCCACTATGTTCCTTCCCAATACTTAGGGATGTAAATTTTACATTTGGTGATCAGTTTTTATTTAATGATGCTCAGCTTTCATTGATGTTCAACATTTCTGAAATGGTAACCATATTCTTAAATAGTGCTGTATTCAGGTTATTATTTTGTATGCAGTGTATACCTTGTGTTGCATGCCTTTTGTTTATCAACATTAGTAATGATTGCTTCATATTTCCTCTGTGCAGAAGAACCTTAAATCATTGTTCAACTTGGATCTGTTCAACTGTGAGGTTTCTATGGTGGAGAACTACAGAGAAAAGGTTTTCGCTCTCATCCCCTCTCTTGTCTACCTCGATGGGTGAGTGTGATATTTTTTAACTTTCCTTAGCTGCCAGTGTGTTAACCAATAGACTGCTTAATTCCACCAGCAACTATTCTCCATTAGACATTTCAAAAAATAACCAGAAACTATAATTTTATGAAATGTCTGCAAATGCAAGCATAAAATATTGAAAACCACTTAAAACAATGCTTCATACCTTATCTTGGATATACAGAATTTTGCATTAATTAAATTCTAATATTAATGGTAAGACATGAGATTTATATTAATAGATTTCCATTGATTATTTTTCTTTTTATCATAGTGAAAGAGAAAGCCATTATAAATAGAGGGTAAATCAAGACATATTCCAAGAATTGTATCACTCATGTTTTTCTGCATTACTTTCTCAGGCATGATGATGCCACAAACACCAAAATATTTTTAATTAACTTTTTATATATAATAAATAAATATATAATAGGAAGATATAAATATATCTTCCTATTAGGTAATATTAGATATGTTAGATGTTGCTAATTCTAGGAATTTGTAAGCAGTTTTAATTCTCTTGGTTTTCGATATTTGTGCACTATTTAAATTAGTTCAATCCAGTGAACCCAAAAATGTCAATTAATGTTACTTGCTGGTTAAAGTACAAATAGATACGGGTGCTAAAAATGCCTGTAATTGTGTTTTAAAAAAATTGCACCAGTGTACAAGTAGGAAATAAATTACTTTTTATCTTATTTGGGTTAAATAAGGGCCCTTTGGTGCCAAATTGTGCTTGGATTTTTACTAATATTGGGGGTAATCCCCCATAACTGGACATTTTTGTAAATGCCCACTCAAGAAGTGGAGACAAAGTGATAGTGACTTCTTGCAGTAGCTGTTCTGCTTGTGAGTGCCAATACAACTGTAAATTTTATGCTTAAGCCATTTCTTATATCTATTGTTACGGCTTTAAAGTCTGGCACTTCAATAGGAAAGCTTGAGTAACTATTAGTTTATTTCATATTTGGTTCAAGAATTATTTCTACCCAGCTCTTGAACAATAGAGCAGGGAGAGGAGACGGGTTACAAGACATGTGTTAGGAAAGTCCTAAGTTTTCCTAGATTAAATTGAAATCTTTGGTATATATTACCCTCCAATACTTTCCCGTCACAATTGTACATGACAATTGTCATGTAAAAGTATTAATTAGTACATTACAGTTTCACTGACATTTTTCTAAATGCATTATTGCAGTAACATCTCCTTTAGTTACAAATAATCTTGAAAAGTTTTTAGATTATTAGACATGAATTAATATTTATATCAAATTGTATATATTTAATTTATATACTGATTAAATTGAATTTATTTTTGACAGATTTGACAAGGAGGATAACAGTGAAGAAGAAGATGATGGTGAGTTAATTTTCCCCTTCAATTTAATTTGCCATTTTGTGCATTGATGAATGTTTGTGGTGACATTGTATAGTTGCAAGAGATTTACTAATGTTATGGTTTCTGTGCTTGGTTATCAGTTGAAAGATGGCCATAAAATCAATGGGATGAGCTGTCAGGTCATGATCTGGAAGTGGATCATTGTGGCTTTGACTGTGCAGAAAATTATGACCTGTCTGACATATAAAGTCTGACAAAACAATAAGTAAAAGGAAAGTTGCCAAGGAGCATATTAATTTTCAGATAAATAGATGGTATTTTAAAATGTTAGATGGCTAAATAAATGTATGACAATTTTTAGCGAGTCACAAGTTATTAATCAGCCATCTGTATAAAAAAAGATAAGTGGCAGTTGCTTTTTTTTTTTTTTTTTTTTTGCAGGTGAGGAGGAGGAAGATGGCGTAGAGGTGCTGGGTGACGGTGAAAATGATGATGACGACGTTGGTGAGGTCTTGGAGGGCGACAATGAACATGATGATGACGATGATATAGATGGAGAAGAGGAGGAAGAGATTGATGAGGAGGAGGTGGAAGAGGAGGAAGATGAGGACGATGAGGAGGAGGATGTACCCTTGGATGCACTATACAAGGAATATAATCCAGTAAGTCATTACCTTATGTCAAGAGTGTTTATAATTTCATGGGTGGCTTGTACACATGACTGTGCAGTAAGTGGTTTGCCGAATGCTTAATACTATTAAAACTGGGAATAGTGCCCTTGATATACCATTGTCAATTTTGCTCTAAGTGGCATTGTAGTATTTGTTGGTTGCAAGTAAACAACCTGTGCCTTCTCCTATGTTAATATTCTAGTGCCAGATAGTTAACCATGTATAATTTTTTGCCTAAGCAGCCAACTGTCAATCTCCCATTGGGCTCTGTCCCATATACCACCAGTGTATTAAAAGTAGTAATTAGAATTTAAAAGCTTTAAGACACATAACTACTGACCCCCACAACTACCTACGATATATCCTTACCAGGTTGGTGATGATGATTACGAGGCGGCCGAAGGTGAAGGAGACGATGACGATGTCCTCGAGGAAGAAGAAGATAGTAAGATTCTTGTTTGTTCAAGCATATTTTGTATAGTGATAATACAATTTATTTGTATCTTAACGATCCTTTAGAAAAATGAATTCAGAGATTAATTAAAGAGTACAGTGACATACAGATGCAGTGAATTTCACGAGTATTTGAACCAAATTTAACCACTTCATTTTTCTTCCAAATTCGTCTTTCTAAAAAAAAAAAAAATCAGATACCTTGGAAGACAAGCAAAATCTGAATCATCAGTTCATTGTATAAGATAATTTTCAATCTTTTTTAATTATGTATTGAATTGATCAGGCTTGCCACTAGGTAAATGGGCAATTGTTATTAGGGTTGTTGTTGCATAGCTTAGTCCTAGCTAAACTGATGTTCTATACAACATTTTCAAGCAGTGGACGCGAGAATTACCAGTATTTCCCTGAATCATTATTGAAGGTTGTGTGTGTGTGTACTCGCCTAGTTGTGCTTACAGGGGTTGAGGTTCGGCCCTTTGGTCTCACCTCTATTGTCAATCTACTGGTGTACAGGATCCTGAGCTTATTAAGCTCTTTCATATCTACATTTGAAACAGTGTATGGAATCAGCATCCACCACATCACTGCCTAATGCATTCCATTTGATAACTACTTTTGACACTGAAAATAAGTTCTTTCTAATGTCTCTGGCTCATTTGGGTACACAGTTTCCTTCCATGTCCCCTTATGCAATTACCACCCAATGCTAAATAATGTCCTTATCACTTTCTCGCTCTCGGTAAACAAAAAAAACTTGCCCCAAGTGCACTCGGCGTTTCAGGCGATCAAGCAGCAACACTGAAAAGTGTGTACTCTTTTTCACTGTCCTGACCTTAATTTTCGATGTACGTATTTCATTTTTGTACCAATGTGTTCGCAATAGAATGTTCTAGAAGAACACAAGTATAAAATGTCACCAAAGCATGAGTTAGACCAGCACCAAATAAAGAACTACGTCGATCACTAGCAGTGAGAGCAAAAACAGCGATGAAATGTTTGTATTCTTTTCAGGGTTGTCAACTCCACACTTGTCCTACAGCGTTAAATTTTGTATCGCTGAGATGGCAATAAAATTCTCTACATGGACATATGCATATAAATGTAGACTCATGATCGCGGCCAGCCCACAAGAGTGTGGGAAGTGGCCGAAGTGTTACCCGTTACTGCACACCCGACAAAACCCCTGTTGAAAAGTGTTTATTCTTTTCACTGTCCTGACCTTAATTTTTGATGTACATATTTCATTTTTGTACCAGTGTGGTCGCAATAGAATGTTCTAGAAGAACATATGTATAAAATGTCACACAAGGATGCGTTAGACCGGCACCAAATAAAAAATTACGTCGATTACACTCGTCTTGTCAACAATACAATGGTCTTACCACGAAGATACAATACAATGCTGTTCTCCCAAATAGGCTATATGGCTATTAGAGAAAACGGAAATTTCATGGCAAACATGTTTATACTCTCCCCAAGTCGATCGGATAAGAATTGGATTACATAGAAATATTTGTTCAAATGACGCTTGAGCGTGGCATTTGGGTGCATTCAAGAGAAAAAAATATGTTGCGCTCTAACGGCCCTTATCTACCCTGTCAATTTTGCTGAGAATTTTGTATGATTATCATGTCTTTCAGCGACGTCAGGTGCAATTCACACAGCGTTTCCTCATAATTTATATCTTTTAGTTCTGGGACTAGTCTAGTGGCATAATTTTGAACTTTCTCCAGCTTTGTCTTATGCTTGACATGGTATGGATTTCATGCTGGAACTATATATTCCAGGAAAGATCTTAAATATGTGGTATACAAGGTTCTAGATGATTCGTTGCTCAAGTTTCTAAAGGCAGTTCTGATGTTAACCAGTCTCACAAATGCCGCTGATGATAGTCTTTTGATATGGGCCTCGGGGGACAGGTTTGGTGTGATATCAATTCCTAGATCTTTATCTGTTTATGTTTCGTGGAGCACCTCATCGGTACCCTGTATCTGGCCTGTTCCCTCCACCTAGTTTCATTACTTTACATTTATTTGAGTTGAACTTTAGTAGCCACTTGTTGGACCATTCCTTCAGTTGGTCTAAGACATCTTGTAGCGTCTTACTATCTTGGTTTAAATCATCCTCATAATTTTGGCATCATTAGCAAACACTTGAGAGGAACGAGTCTATACCCTCTGGTAGATCATTTACATATACAGTGGTACCTCAAGTTACGAACGTCCCTATTTACGAACTTTTTGGGTTACGATTTGTTTGGAAAATTTGAATCGGTATATGAGTTTGTTAATTAACATCTTGCGACATGATTGAGATCATCAAGGTATACTAGAAGATTACTTCCTATCAATCTACGAAATAGATTCGTCATGAGCCGTAAAGTTACGAACTTTTTGGGTTACGATTTGTTTGGAAAATTTGAATCGGTATATGAGTTTGTTAATTAACATCTTGCGACATGATTGAGATCATCAAGGTATACTAGAAGATTACTTCCTATCAATCTACGAAATAGATTCGTCATGAGCCGTGTAAAGGTTATTGGACTACTCCGCAAACCAAATGGCATTCTTTTGAAATAAAAATGACCATTGGGAGTATTGAAGACTGTCAATTGTTAAGAGACCATACTCTCATAACCGTCTTCCATATGCCATCAAGTGTCCTCCATAAAGGTAAGACAAACATATGTACTGTATTATAGTTAGAGAATTTTTTTTTATTCAGTATAAAATGTATTTTTAAGTTAATATTTTTGGGGGTGTGGAACGGATTAATTCATTTCCCTTTATTTCTTATGGGAAAAATCACTAGACCTGTGAACTGTCTGTATATAGTGGGGCCTTGATTACCATCGGAAATCAACGCCCCACTATATAATACTGTATATAATAATAATAATAAATAAATAAATAAAATGTGTGGGGTTCTGGTTCTTTCCCAGCTTGCCCGTTATGGATTCTTGGTAACTTGGCGGAAGTCCCAGTACTGCGTCCATTTGTCTCCCTCCTGCAGCTCTGCACTGTTGCAGTCCAGCCTTCAGCTGTCTTTTGTGGGGGAACGCGGGTCACACACGGCAGTTGCTCGAGTAGCTATATTTACTATTTGTGTCTGCAGAAACGAGCTATTAACTCCAGGACCCTGCCTTTCAACCCATTTAGTTTTCCTCTATTATGTCTACTACAAGTTTCTCTCTAACTCATGCACGCGCACACATATCCCAGGAAGCAGCCTGTACTAGCTGTCTAACTCCCAGGTACCTATTTACTGCTAGGTGAACAGGTGCATCAAAGTGAAAAAACTGCCTATTTGTTTCTGCCTCGGACAGGAATCGAAGCCCTTAGGATTACGACTCGCAAGCTCTGTCCACTCAGCAGTGAAGCCCTTATGTGCGGGAGCCTGAATTTTGCTCTGTTGGTTTCTCCACTAGGCAGGGTTTGGCTTCAGAGGTTGTTCTGGTATCTACGATGCTGCCTTTTTTGTTGCTCCCTCAATTGCAGGGTTTGTTTCCTGGTGTCCTTGCACCACCGGTTACTGCGTCTCTGGTTTCCTCTAGGGTTTTTTTGGGGATCGGCACCATGGCACCTTCCTCTTTCCTCTCTTGATGTGATCTCAGACGCCTTGTCTTGGTTGAGGCTTTGTGGCCAGTGCTTACCAGTCGGGTCAGGGGCGTAGGGGGGGCTGTCCTTACGTCGGTTCACAGCATGGTTTTCGTGAGTTTGCAGTGGTGTGGCAGGCGCTGCAACATATTCAGCTTCCTTGGGGCTCGGTGTTCTGGCTCCATTTAGACTGCCTCCCCGTTGGGGGGGGGGTCTGTTCAGCCCGTGGCTCTTTGGGGCTGGTTGCAACGGGTAGCTCTGCTGCCAACGTCTCAGGGCTTAGCTCTCCACACTGTTCGCATTTGGGGGTGTCCAGCTTCATTCCTCTTTCAAGAGTTACCAGTCGATGCCGCCTCCTTTGGCTAATGATCTGGGGCTCAGATCATTGGTTCTCCCTTCTCCCCTCTTTTCCCTCTCCTTCTCCCCTCCTTTCCTTCTCCCTCTCCCCTCCCCTTGGCCATCATTCGTCTCCTCTTTCCCCCCCCCCCCTGTTGCCCATTTGTCAGGGTCAAGAGGTTGACCTGAGGGTAGGGTGGTCGTGGATACCTTGGCTTCTCCCACTCAACTTCCCCACTCAGATATTTCCCTCTCCACCCCCTCTCATCCCCTCTCTTCCCCTCTCACCGGCCTCTTCCCCATACCAGGCAGAGTCAAATGTCCCTACTCGCTATCTTAGAGGAGACAGGCTTGAACATAAATTATCAGTTTTGTAAACATTGCTCGCAGGTGTCCTGGGGCCCCATAGAGGCGCCTTGTCTCCCTTCTCATAGCTGGGGAGAGCTGACTCAATCTTCAGGAATTCAAGTAGCTTTCCACGGCAGATCAGTGAAGGTGATTGGCCTGAGATAAGGGCCAAGTCCTTATTGGCCCTAGAGAGCCAGACCTCAGGCCTACGTGTTAAATGGTTGGCCATTGCCAAAAGTATGGGTGGAGCCCTGGGGCTGTATTAGAAGGTGGGAGGAGTAATCTTTCCCAGCAATAAGTTGGAAAAACTAAATTTCATCAGTGTGTCTTGGGAGTGTATTAGGAACAGGGCCGCAAGCCCGTATCCTCGGGGCTGAGGGCAGCCATCAACATCATGGCCGTAGTGCGGGTATTTAAGGTATAGTAGCACTTGAGTTTCGTGCCCTCAATAAATATCCATTGTGCCTCTGGGGAAATAGAATAGGTGATGTGTTCAAATTGTCTTAATTTACATGTTTCATAAAATAAATTGTATAGCTTGTCCAGTGGTATTCACTTAACTCCCCTTTTATATATTTTGCTACTTTGTCATTTTTAGGTGTTGTATTGGAAGCCCCCAGGTTCTCCTAACAATTAATCGATACTAAAGTTGCCCTTGGATTTAAATTAGTAACGTAAATTACACAAACTAATTTTCCAAAATTTATTACTGAAATTCATATTACCCGGAGTCCCATGGTTACTGATTCCTTGCCTTCCTGGGGGATCGGTGATAAGACACATTCAGGTATGGTTGGTCGGGAAGGTGGTGGCAGTGCTTTAATGGTTTTTATTTTATAATTAGTAATAAGCGAATAACCCTTGTCCTTGGTGTATCTTCCTCATTTAATATTCCTCTTAGATATGTGGCAGTCCAATGAGGGGTCATGCTGGACTGTAACAGTGTTAAGCTGGGGTATTGAGTTGAAGAGAGACAGAGAATTACAACAGAGTGTATAGTACGATTATGAGAGATCACAAGATAACAGGATTAATACTGGGGAACATTGGGTTATTACAATAGAGGCCGCGGTTATTATGACAGGGTAAGCGGTCATTACAAGGCGGTGGGGTACCTTGTTGGTTCGCCTTACTGCTCCACACTACGGGTCTGGCATTTCTGATGCGTATGTATCGCCATTTGTTTGGTGATCATGGGGCTTCTTTGATGGTGTCCCACCTGCGATCTTCGTCTCAGTAACAGTATAGAATTTCCTGTTGGTCTTCCTGTCTTTTTCTGTCTTTTCTTTCTGTCAGTTTTGGATTATTTTTTTTTTCCTGGATTGGCATCACATGTCTAATATTGTCGCTTTTTATCATGCAGCATTGGCTGAGCTGTTGCAGCATGCATTTTTGATGAATGTCTTTCTACTCTGTTCCTCAAGCTCTCGTGCATTTTTTCACCTTTATCCTGCTCATGCACCACCTGCACCTTCTTGGTCTGGGTTCTTTCCTTTCTTTCTTCTCCTCGCTTTATGGTGGCCCCTTTGGTTCGTGGTTGCTTTTGGAAGGCCTTGTTTTTGTTGGCCTTGGCCTCTGGGGGTCAGGTTAGGGATCTTCATGCTCTTCTCTGCTGCTAAGGGTTCTGTTTGTTTGGTCCTGGTGGTCCGTTTGTAGCTTTTTCCTTCTTTAACTTTTGTTTCAGAATGAGATGGCAGGCTTCTGGAGGAGTCCGTTGGTTGTAGGGAGCCGGTCGGCCGAGCGGACTGCACAATGGACTTGTGATCCTGTGGTCCCGGGTTCGATCCCGAGCGCCAGCGAGAAACAATGGGCAGAGTTTCTTTCACCCTATGCCCCTGTTACCTAGCAGTAAAATAGGTACCTGGGTGTTAGTCAGCTGTCATGGGCTGCTTCCTGGGGGTGGAGGCCTGGTCGAGGACCTGGCCGCAGAGACACTAAAAAGCCCCGAAATCATCTTAAGATAACCTCAAGATTGTAGATGCTAGGTTGCTTAGGCTGGTGGACACACTCTGGGTGGATCCGGTTTCCTTGGTTCGCTGTTCCAGGGCTCGCGTGTCTCGGGTTATCCGCAGTGTCATTCAGTCTAGCCTGTCTGTGGTTTACCCTCATGCCCATGAGGTATGCAAGTATGCTGCTGTCACGACAGTTTTGGGCAACATGTCTTAGATCGACATTCAAGCCCAGGGGTTTTTGAGGTCGCACAGAATCCTGGCAGCCAGGTATCTCATGGCTGTTCTGGTTCTTTCACGGCCTTGGGCCGCCTGACACAGCCGTCTGTCTCTTCCTCATCTTGAGAACTGCGGTGCTGCCACCTCCCGGGTAAGTCCTTTTTTTTTTACTTAATGTTTGGGTCTTTAGCTCAGGGAGCCAACAGGGCTCCCCACAAAAAAATAGCATTGAATGCAATGAAACGTCATTTTCTGAGTGAGCCTCATAGGCTCCCTGACTCCCACCCTCGCTCTAGTCGGCAGTTTTCATAATTCAAGAACTGGGGTGGTGGAATACCGGCTCCCCTTTCAGGGGAAGCGCTAACGAACGGGAGTGCTTGTTTGATTTCTTTCTAGGGGTTGTTTTGTTCTTTTAGAACATAGATTGCACAGCGTAACCAGACAGTATACACGGTACTTCGCAAAGGCTTTCGATAAATGTGACCATGGCGTGATAGCACACAAAATGAAGTCAATGAGAATAACCGGTAAAGTAGGACGCTGGATACTCAGTTTTCTGTCAAACAGGACTCAGCGAGTAACGGTCAACCATATAAAATCTAGTCCAAGTGCAGTGAAAAGCTCTGTACCTCAGGGTACAGTCCTTGCACTGCTGGTTTTCCTTATTCTCATATCAGATATAGACAAAAATTCAAGTCACAGCTTCGAATCATCCTTTGCAGATGACACAAAAATCAGTATGAAAATTACCTCGGCTGAGGACATTGAAAAACTTCAAGATGATATTAATAAAGTTTTCGACTGAGCATCAGAAAATAACATGATGTTTAACAGTGATAAATTCCAGGTACTCAGGTACGGTAAAAATGAGGACCTTAAACATAATACAGGGTACAAAACACAGTCAAATGTGCCCATAGTAGGAAAGCAGCATGTAAAGGATTTGGGAATAATAATGTCTGACGACCTAATGTTTAAGGAGCATAACCAAGCAAATATTGCGACAGCCAGAAAAATGATAGGATGGATTACGAGAACTTTCAAATCCAGGGATCCCATCACAATGGTTGTACTCTTCAAGTCACTTGTGTTGTCCCGTCTTGAGTACTGCTCAGTACTCACTTCCCCCTTCAGAGCAGGAGAGATTGCTGAAATAGAGGGAATACAGAGAACATATACGGCACACATAGACGCAATAAAGCACCTAAATTATTGGGATCGTCTCAAAGCCCTCCAAATGTACTCACTAGAAAGAAGACGAGAGAGATATCAAATAATATACACCTGGAAGATACTGGAGGGCCAAGTACCAAATCTACACAGTAAAATAACAACGTACTGGAGTGAACGATATGGAAGAAAATGTAGAATAGAACCAGTGAAGAGCAGAGGTGCCATAGGCACAATCAGAGAACACTGTATAAACATCAGAGGTCCGTGGTTGTTCAACGTCCTCCCAGCAAGCATAAGAAATATTGCCGGAACAACCGTGGACATTTTCAAGAGGAAACTAGATTTATTCCTCCAAGGAGTGCCGGACCAACTGGGCTGTGGTGGGTATGTGGGCCTGCGGGCCGCTCCGAGCAACAGCCTGGTGGACCAAACTCACAAGTCAAGCCTGGCCTCGGGCCGGGCTTGGGGAGTAGACTACTCCCAGAACCCCATCAACCAGGTATCAACAGTGGTCTGTTTTGATTTGCCTATCTTTCTGGGTCCTTCCCCGGTCGATGACAATTATGACATACTTTAAATGTAAAGTGCTCATAGGCCATAGCTCCTTGCGCCACTCTGAGGGGGAGCCAGGTTCTTGTTCGTAGTCCCAAGTAGGCATAAGGACTTCTGTGACTGATGATTCCAAACTAATATAACACATATCAGTATGCATAATTCCAGGGCTTGCCCAGAAAATGGCTTTCCATTACATTCTACGCCTTTTTTTTTTTCTTATACAAATACTTCACCGGTGTGCACACCATAATAATGGAATACAGGGTATGTTGATGTGTATACATAGCTTTAATTGTGCTTACTTTTCCAGGTGATGCAAACCGAGGTCAAAAGAGGAAGCTGGAGGACGGAGAAGATTAGAATTAACTTTATAGTGGGCACGTGGCAACCTGTAGCCAAGAGGGCAGCAGGGGGGTGAGTGGAGGCACCGTCGCAGCTACACCGTTGGGCTTGTGTGGCTCTCTCCGGGCGCAGTAATACTACCACACAACTCGCCAGTTAAGAGTTGTCAATCTAAAAAACTGAAGTGTTCATTAAAATCAAATTTAATTCTTTTAATCTAAATTGCAACTTGTTTTATTATAATTTTGTGTATACACACTACCCAATTTGAATTTCTCAGTGCACTAGACATGTGTTGAATGTTGGTGATGGTCATATGAACCTGGCCACAACCCCTTTTCCTGTAATTTGGAGGCTTAGTCTTGACTAGTGCTCACTGCCTAGCTTGCTGTAATTGACCTAGCCACCACTTACCTCACTTGACCTAAACACGATTGTCACAGTTAAAGTGAATGTTGTGGGACTTCATGTAAACATTTCACTTGTTACTGTTTAAGCCATGCTATTGATTGGCAGTACAGGTAATGGTTCTTGAAATACAACTTGAGAGAATATAATCAAGCATGCATTGGAATAGCTAGTTGGTTTAAAGATGATGATAATAGTGCAGGTATTGAATGTTTCATGGGGCCACAGGTCTCAGGATCAGTTTAGACATTTCTGTTTGGTCCCGGTGTGTCGGTGGAGCCAGTGATAAGTAAAGTACTGTATTGAGAGGGCATGGTCTCTGTGTCACTCCATATGTTGTTCAAAAAGACATGGCCTATTAATTTATCATGGCTGCTTTTAAATGACTTAAATTTGATGTTTTTCATGAATTTGTTAAAATCATGGGAATGTTGTCAGAATTCTTTTATCTGTTAGTTTGTCATAATTTTTTATATATATAAATATATACATACAAAGTCAGCAATAATAATTTCAGTTTAAATTGTGATGGAGAGTGTTTACATTTAAGAAACTTAGTTCTGATGGTTAGCTAAAGGATGTGTATATAATATTACATCATTAGTGCAGTAATTGTAAGTCATGTTTAAACAAGATTACCTAAGACAATTCTTTAATTTTTTAATTTTCATACTTTGTACAGTAGCATATTATTGTGTAATAGTATGTTAGCCATTTCTGCCCCTCGAGAGACTCCGTGTGGCTGGCCGAGGCCTGTCATGGCTGCCCAGGCTGGGTGAGGTGGGTTGTAGAGTTATTGACTGTACTCCTGCCATGGAGATTCTAGTGTCTTTCCCATTTCTTGTTGCGTGTGCTAGGTCCGTCCTTATGTGTGGAACTCGCAGTAGGTTTTTACTATTATTGTTGCTATTATTATTATTGATGTTCACAGATTCAATTTTTTTTTATTACAGTACTGTACTTGTTTTTGCACTTAAGGACCAACTGCAAATGGGAGGTGTGGAGATGCTTGTGTAGTGGTCAAGTTGGGGTACACGTGGCTCTTTCCCTTGAAAAGTCAATGTATTTGTGGTCATAATATGTAAACATAAAGCCGTTTTCTTTTTTCTTTAGTTTTATACTGTCATGTAAATATAAATAGAATGTTTAAGCAATAGGACTAAGGTCTTGAAAACTAGGCCATAGAATATTAAAATATAAAACAGAGTTATGGTAATAATGAGAAATAGTAGCATGCAAGAACTAGCACTGTCAGTCATTGATCTCCAATTGAAGGCCACATCTTGGACAGCCGCAGCAGCCATGACCCCCAACTGTGTGGGTGTGGGCCATGCGGGTCCACACCACCGTCCTGCACACCCTCACCACCACCACCTCTCTTGGCCCACCCAATTTATCAACATGTGTGTCTCTTGTTACAAGTTATAACATGGTGAAATTGGCCAACTTTTATATAACCAAATAAAAGGAGTAAATGTTATTATTTATTTTTTAAGTAGTGCTGAAATTAAAGTAAATTTATTAATGAGAATTGTTAATTAATAGCAGTAATTTGAAGGCTGTGTGTGTGTGTGCACGTTTGTGTACTTTGTGTGTGTGTATGTATGTAGGTGTGTGTGTAAAGAAGATGGTGGTGGATGTAGTGGTGGCAGACATTTGGTCAGCGTGCCCACCACACAGTTACTAGAGTACAAAGTACAGGGCCCAGCCGTCATTGAGTATCCCGCCGCCATGCCTCTGCTGCAGCCAGTCGACACAGGCTCTAACAGGCTGAGCAGCATTGCGCAAGTTATCCGTCTCGCCCACGCGCAACTCTTATAGTGTGGGCTGTCATCTGGGCCAGCAGGAGGCTTTATAACAAAAGTATACACACAATTGTTAAAAGACGTTAGTAAGCCCATGTGCCTCTACGTTGATGTGAGGTTGTCACCACCCATTAAAGTAAATTTTTAGGATTCATTGTAGATTTGCACTCTTAATTATGAGGTAGGAATCGGAGGTATTGCACTTGTGGTATGCGTGTTTTGTCAGTAAACGAGAGATTCAAAGCAATTCTGGTTCTAGGGAGCTCTTCCTACAGCCACTGAGATAAATTGTTAGGGCAGCCAAAGAATTATTTAAAAAACTTCAAACATGGGTAATTGCATGAGTAACCCCTCAATGAAATGCTGAACTGTTTAGCTCATGAGTGAGATTACAAAGGTTTTGCTGTTTTGTTTCTAAGAAAGAACAACAAACTTGAGTGTGATGCCTCACAAGACTAATGAGTTAACTTTGGGAACAACATTGGAGTCTATTTGGGCTGCTGGTGTCATGTATGGGTGCGCAAAGTGGCAAACTTGGCCTTGGTGAGCATCCATTATAATCCTGCGCTGCCTATGCCCAAATCTTTAGCAACTTGCTGCAATCTGATGCAACTTGTCTTGTGTAGTTCATATTTTGCTGGCATTGGGGACTTCGCATCTTGGAAACATGCCAAATATTGGGCTTATATTTGTTATAAATTAATTAGGAAATACTTATTCTCATAGGTTTATTACAGAGTATTTACCAGAGATAGAAAAGACCCTGTTATATGTGAAGGGCCGAGTGCCTGCCAAATATAGTCTACGCTGTCAGAAGGCGTGGGAGGCATGAGGTGCCATCAAGGTCACACTGAACCGCATACTCTCAGGTCGTTAGTGTGATCACCTCCCAGGGTAGTTAGTAGGGGGGGCATTTTGGGACAGTGGGACCTGAGTTAACTATGTGAATCCCCCACCAAATGTTCAAAATTAAGGAGATCTGCTATGGTAATGAGCTTATAACTAACAATAAATATATGTACAAGTTTCTTATGAGAATCCTCTTAAATAATAAAGGAGAATTTGATGTCCCTAAGTGCTTCCTCATGGAGTAGTAGACCCATAGACCCCATGCAGAGAGAGGTGCCTTCCCTGAGGGGTGCCATCACGGCCTCCCACCCCTCAATGATCCCGTCGGAGGCCCCGTTCTGTCAATTCACACCCAGTGTTTGTCGTTACCGTAACTTGCTTTGTTTTAACCAGTTACATTTTTTCCTCTGATCTTTTTTAATATCTGCAGTTTGTTCTAAATTATTGAGATGATATCTTCTCAGATTGAATGGATGTTTTTAATGTTTGCTGCTATTGAGATTCATTTGACATGTTTGCCACTTATATGTTTCATATATCAAGGCTCCAGTACATATGTCTGCTGGAAATAGTTGTCATTTAAATGATGTCTATCTCTGTACTGCCATGTATGTATTTCTTATGTATTGACAAGGTCATTTATGTATATTTTTCACTTGAACTTAAACATCCACAACTGTACCCCCCTGTAAAAACCATTGCATCTTAGGCTCTCGTACAGCATAGCCTCATACACTTAATTCATTTTGAAAATATCTGAATGTTGCATCTTCTGAATATGGCTAATGGAAGTGCTTGATGCAAGGGTCATTACATATGTTACTGGTGTTGGCTTGGAGCTGATGGTAAACAAATTTAGAAGTTGATAGTTTTCAGACTTGAAAATAACAAAATGTGGTGACCAAACACACACCAGAAGATGAGGAGACAGCAACGTTTCAGTTCATCCTGGTCCATTATAAAAATCGATTGTTTGGAGGATGGACTGAAACGTAGTCGTCTCCATCTTCTGGTGTGTGGTTTGATCATGTATCTTCAGCCACGTTATTGCGGCTCGTTGTCTGCCAAAAATTTTGTTTTATGCACATTAATTAGCAATATTTTACTTTGAGGCAGCAAGATGGCAAAAAGTTGCATTAACTGGAGCCAAAGATACATTGTTTTAAACCATGTTAGACTTCTTACCTGTGTTTGTTGCTTAGTTTTGTTGCAAGTTGTCTCCGTTCATGAGAAAGTCAATGTTTTTACATCTGTTCAACGTACATTTGACTAATCGCAAGATTGTTGTTCAGATGTATTTTGGCGTTGTGGAACTACTTTACAAAGCTCTGGCAACTAGAGATTGGTAATTCAAATAAGTTTATTGAGGTTTAAACAGATTGGTAATTTGCTTATAGAAGACCATAAGAGAAAACATTTGTAACAACAAATATCAGCATATTCGGGGGATTTTTTTTTCTTTTTTAAGATCACAAACCTTGTCACAAAAATATAATGCTAGCAAAATTAGCTGGGCTTTAAACATGAATTGATACAAAAATATAGTTTGCTTTCAGTTTAATATGTATGCCTTATAGCAGCATTAGATATTAGGATTTATATTTTAGTTATGGAATATCTTGCAAAATAATTTTAATATACCCATATATGAATTATAGAGGTGTAATTCATTGGTATAGTATATAAATTGCCATTTTTGTCATTATTAATGCTTATATAGTTCAAATTGAATTTTTTTTTCTTTTTTGTTGTGATTGTGCTCAAATGTGAAAATTTTAATATTAAGCATATACATGGGGTAACTGTAGTTGGTGAGAGAAGATGGTTGTGGAAGTTGTTGGGTGGTGCAAGGCACAAATCTCTTCCCACGATTGAAGTTACATGCTAAGCATTTATTTGGTGACTCGACTCGTCCTGACAGCAGTATGGCAAGAGCCATACTGCTGGCAGTCTGCTGTACAGTATATGGAACTTGAGGCTATATTCAGAAGATGCATGATGCCATCCTTGCCTCAAGGGCACTTGTGGCCCACTGCCCCATGAAGCACCATACATGTACTTTCATACACGTGCACAACAAAAGGGCGAGCAACTGGATGTTTACAATGCCATTATTTAGATCTTTTAACAAAATTTGTGTAAGCTCCATAGTTCATAGTCGGATTGGTTTGTTCATTGTAAGCGCATTAAATGTAACAGTTGACTGGAGCACAGTTGTTACATTCATCTCGTGAGGTTCTTAAGAAAGACTGCACCAACTTTCCCTAGTGCCTCGGCACACTGGCATGCCTCGTCCTTGAGCAAGAGACGTCTGGACCTCGACCTAAGAGTGAGGGCTGCAAGCTCCTTGGGCATTTTGCAGTGTCCAATGTGGTTCTTACATCTGTGACTTAGAATATTAAAATATTCTCTTTATTCTGTATTGTATTTTTTCTTTATTTAAACCAGTACTATTTGAACTTTTTTTTTTATTAATCCATAGGATTGATTGGGCATTATTTATTTGAGTCTATTGCTTGTTGGATCCTGTGTATAATCTCACATTTATTCTTTTATTATATTTTATAATGTCCATTATTCTTGTGTTTTATAAATTTTTGTTTTTGTTGGTTTAAAGGAGAATATTTGCTGGAGCATGAAATATAGGCTGCTGGAGGGCTGAGTTATGGAATGATGTGGGATATAGTTCTGGGAAAGGCAAGACAGGTTTTTAAAGGCCATTATTTGAACACTTGTTGACTGTTGCTTTAGAATCTGGCTCGGCCAGTAGCATCTGCTTCCATATCCGGTGAACACCACTATTTTTGCCCCCATAGGCTTGTAGTTGATTGTGAGTGTACATACAGTATTACAAAGTAGACATCTTGTGTATGTAGGTGTAGTGTCAGTGAGCCTTTCATGTGTATCACAGTGCCCCCTTCAGTCAGGTAAAGATAACACACTGGTGGCAGTCATAATATCAGGTGAATTCAGGATAAGCGCAAATACACTTTTATTCCTAGTCAAATGTCTGGCTTTATTTTGTCGATGCTCTGACTAGCATTCATAGAGCGCTTGAATACTGATGTCAACTTTGTGACTGGTGAGAGTTAGTCTGCCTTATCAGTGGATTAATTTCATGTGAAGCCAATGCCTAAGATGAAAATCTTCAGGTAAAATCTTTGTCTTATGGGTCCAATAATAACTTTTATATAAATTCAAGAGATTGGCTCATCAATTCACTGAGGGCCAACTGTGGTCATCCTCACTGCTGATTCTAAGATATGGATCCGTATTACTTTTTGCATGTAAAAGGATCCTATCTTTGTGGGCTCTCGGTGAGTTGCAGCTGGTGTCAAAAGGGAATGGTAGTCATGCAACTTTAAGGTAGATATACAAAATTGTCATTTTTTATCTAACTGCTGTGTTGAGCATCCCATGAAGTTTATTATTTAAACTTGACTTTAGTTCAGTATTATTAATCTGGTGTCTAATCATTAGCCCCTGTTGCTTGGGAATTGTCCTTGTTTAATTTATATAATTTCTGAATATTTCTTCCCCTCTAACTTGAAAAAGAGCCTTTGAGGTTTCACAATGAAAAATTTTTCATTTCCTTACCTCTAAATTAGAAACATGACTTTGTCTTTAAGGTGGAAGTACAGTGATTTGAGATAGCCAACCAATTGGGTCAGTGGTAGTGTAACATTAAAAAGCTTGTCTTCAAGTACTTATAATTTTGTTTATATTTACATACATAATACTGTTGTTTTGATAAGTGAATGTTGTATGTATTTTGTGGATTGGAAACTCTTGGCACTTTTCCAATAGTGTAATTTTTACCTGCAATTTCATGTGATTTACCAAAAAAAAAAAAAAAAGTATTTTTGTACTTTACTACATTGAATTGGATTTGAGTACAATGCTCATTGATACTGTGAACTCTTAATTACTAATTCTGCTTTGGGAGGTGATCATAAGACTGTGTTCCTGGGAGGTTGTTTTAATGAACAATGTAGAAAGCAAATTGCAAATACACTTTCATTTTTTGTAGAGCTTTTGTCTCTTTCTCCCCCCAGTATGTCAATTATGTCTTGATTGCCTTGTGTTGTGGGGGAAGGCTTTCTTTTAAGGTACGTGTACATAGTATTTGGTAGTAACAAATGCAGTTTAATGTTAGTGAGAGAAGTCGGACTATTAAATAAAGAACATACGTTCCTGCTGTAAAATTGTTAACCGTAATATTTGAAATCAAATCGTGTTAATCTAGTAGTACGTGTAAAAGGTTCCAAATGCTTGAGGCTGACCAAGGGAATGTTGGTGCCACAGCAGGACAACACTGACCAAGGGAGTGTGGTACCTCATGCTCCTCTTTCAATACACAGAGTAATCATGTTGGTGTGATTACTCTGCATATTGAAAGAGGAGCATTAGAGGTAGAACGTTCGTAGATGACACGAGCCAGAGTGCATGGGGGAATTGTGTGTAAATCCTGGTCCAGCTTGAGTGGAAGCCTTAGGAAATCCTAGTGTGTTCAGTAGAGTTACAGGTTGCAATCCTTTTGACCATGTTGTGGTCTGGTTGTCTGGGGTATATGCGTGGGAATATTCACTACATAGGTTCGAATTCTCATCACGGCTAATATGAATTTTCTCATTGATTCATCATGGTAGTGAGATTACTCTTTGTGGATTATTATTGTTAACCTTTCATCCTCTCCTGTGACAGTCCTCTCTTCCTGGCTTCTTGCAGGTTGGCGTTCGATCCCCGACCATCCAAGTGGTTACGTACCATTCGTTCCCTCCGTCCTATCTGAAATTCATATCCCCTCATATATATATATATTGTATATAGTCAGTCGTAATGGCTTAGCGCTTTCCTGGTTTTACCTTACCTCTTCTACATTTTCTCCTGAATTCGGGCGAACATTCTCCTGTAAGTTCGCTAACTTACACTTTTTCCTGTATTAATCTCTGTTCCTCTTCATATATATAGACACCTAAGTGACCATTTTCCTATCCTCGTATCCCTCTTTCTTTCTGCCCTCTCCTTTATTTTACGCAGTGGAGGTTTGCTACTGCTTACTAGAATCTTTTTCCTTGCCAGTCTAATTTACCTCTCCATCTCAACTCTTTCACAACACCTTACTAGATGATGCTGCCCATCTCCCGTAAAGGTTTTCCTTATTTCGATTTCTACCCAGTTATTCATTCCTTCATCCTTTACCTTGGCAGGATTGTTGGTCTTCTGTTACTGGTAACAAACTAAGTAGTATGTCCTTGTGGCCGTCCTCCTGCCACCATAACCGGCGATGGGAAACGGTTCTGTGGAGGTTGCGTATTGGCCATACTCGCTTTACTCACGGTCACTTAATGGAGCGCCGCCCTGCTCCTTATTGTCCAAATTGCATTGTCCCTCTTATGGTCGTGCATATCCTTTGTGAATGTCATGACTTCCTGGACGAGCGTGTCTTGTTTTCCGACGGTCCCTCGCGGTCGTTTGTCCCTCGATAGAATTCTTGGTGAATCGGATACTATACTTTTAATATCGTTCGCCTTGTGCGTTTCTGTTCTCGAATTAGCATCCTTGGTGATATTTAGCGCCCTCTGATTATTCCACACATTGATGGTGCTACATAGCCTTCCCGGTTTGGTTCCTTCTTTTGATAATTACTTACCAATAAAATTCTCAGAAGAATTGATAGGGGTAGATAAACTGTTTAGCACGGGTGGTACACGAACAAGAGGACACAGGTGGAAATTGAGTACCCAAATGAGCCACCGGGACGTTAGAAAGAATTTGTTCAGTGTCAGAATAGTTAACAGATGGAATGCATTAGGCAGTGATGTGGTGGAGGCTGACTCCATACACAGATTCAAATGTAGATATGATAGAACCCAGTAGGCTCAGGAATTTACACCAGTTGATTGAGAGGCGGGATCAAAGAGCCAGAACTCAACCTCCACAAGCACAACTTGCTGAGTACACACGGAAATTGCCAACAGAGCTAACTCATATCTAACTTATAATTAATAATATTGGTGATCTGAATATCAACAATAAAAATAAACTATAAATTATATATCAATCTACTAAGTAATTAATAGAACTTAGAATGGCAGAAAGTTAGGTCAAATGTGGTAGACCGAAGACAAACGCCTATATAATTTATACTGTATTTTTTTTTTTAAGAGTTTTTATATTCTTGTAGCACTTATATGTGTCGCCTACCTCCGGACACTAGCATCTTCACAGCGGAGCTTCATGCTATTCTCTATGCTTTTCGTCTCCTGCTTTCTCGTTGTCAATCTTCCTTTGTGGTTATCGTTGACTCGTAGTTCCCTCATGGCTCTCGGGTCCTTTAATCCAGTCCATCCAGTGGTCGTCGAGATCCAGCATTGGCTGTTTCTTGTTCACAGTAAATTTAAGTCAGTTGAGTTTTGCCGGGTTCCTAGCCATATTGGTGTCTTTAAATGAACGTGCGGATGCTGCCGCTAGGGAAGCTATTCGCTCTTGTCCCATCTCTCGTAAAGGTATTCGTTATTCCTACTTTTACACAGTTAGCCATATTGGTGTCTTTAAATGAACGTGCGGATGCTGCCGCTAGGGAAGCTATTCGCTCTTGTCCCATCTCTCGTAAAGGTATTCGTTATTCCTACTTTTACACAGTTATTCATTCCTCCATCTTTACCCATTGGCAGGATTGTTGGTCTTCCGTTACTGGTAACAAACTGCGTACTCTTAAAGAGTTGTGTGTCCTTATGGCCGCCCTCCTACCACAGTAACCGGCGATGGGAAACTGCTCTGGCGAGGTTGCGTATGGGTCATACTTGCTTAACTCACGGTCACTTAATGGAGCACCGCTCTGCTCCTTATTGTCCAAATTGCATTATCCCTCTTACAGTCGTGCATATCCTTGTTGAATGTCCTGACTTCCAGGACGAGCGGGTGTCTTGCTTTCCAACCGTTCCCCGCGGTCAATTGTCCCTCGATAGAATTCTTGGTGAATCGGAAACTTTTGATTTCGTTCGCCTTATGCGTTTCTGTTCTCGAATTGGCATTCTTGGTGATATTCAGCGCCTGATTATTTCGAGCATTTGATGTTGCTACATAGCCTTCCCGGTTTAGTGCCTTCTTTCGATAATTACTTACTCCCCGACCGTCCAAGTGGTTGGGTACAATTCCTTTGGCCCGTCCCATCCCAAATCCTTAACCTGACCCCCTTCCCAGTGCTATATAGTCGCAATGGCTTGGCGTTTTCCCCTTGATAACTCCCCCCTCCCCTCCGATCATCCCTGAAGTAAGTCCAGGTCATCCTGGATAATGTTGGGTATGTTGAACAACCGCGGACCTCTAATGTTTATACAGTGTTCTATGAGTGTCTATGGCACCCCTGCTCTTTACTGGTTCTATTCTGCATTTTCTTCCATATCGTTCACTCCAGTACGTTGTTATTTTATTGTGTAGATGTACCTTCCCTTTCCATAGTGAAGCAAAGGTATGTGATTAGTTTTACTGACAAAGTTTATATATGATCGAATTTTCAAGTGATGCGTTCTCAAAATCTAATATAAGTATCACAATCGACTTGAAAATGGTCCAGGACGGACCGAAACGTCGTCGTCCCTTCATTTTCTAGTGTGTGGTCTGGTCAACATATTTCAGCCACGTTATTGTGACTCATCATCTGCATAAGTATCAAAAGTTTGTCTATTATTGACAGCTCCCATACAATCAGATTCTGGCACTGTTTACCTCATGACTGCATACCGTAGCCTCATGACTGTGTATCGTAGTCTCATGACTGTGTACCGTAGCCTCATGACTGTGTACCGTAGCCTCATGACTGTGTACCGTAGCCTCATGACTGTGTACCGTAGCCTCGTGACTGTACCGTAGCCTCGTGACTCTGTGCCGTAGCCTCATGACTGTACCGTAGCCTCATGACCGTGTACCGTAGCCTCATGACTGTACTGTAGCGTTACATACTGCCATACAGTTCTGTTCTCGGGTCACTTCTTATAAACTCGCCAAACTAAAACAGTGACTTAACTCACCGCAAATGTAAATTACTTTGCCTTGAGAATATAGAGGTTCATAATATGTTCCTATTATGTACCTCTGTAACCTCTCCACCACCGCTCACAGGATGGGTATGTGGTGACTGTAACCTCTACACCACCGCTCACAGGATGGGTATGTGGTACATACTAAATCACCTACACTACTTTCACTTTGCTGCTGCCTGATCGTAAAACGCCAGTACGTTCTATAGCGAATAAATTATGTAAACAATTTACTCTCCAAACTCATTAGTTAAATGAGAGAAGCAAACCTCTCATTAGTACTAATGACATCAATCAAATCTTTTCCCTAATTTCAGGTACCATTTCTTCAATCCTACTGAAGGAAGCTGAGGTGTAGTCCAATCGTATAAGCAATCGAGAAGCGATTAATAATCAATACTTACCTGGCAAAGGAGACATGGTGATCACGATTAATAATCTGTTTACGGGCTATTCATGCCCGTGCCACCTCTTGGGTGGCTTAATAAAATAAAATAAAAAATAAAATAAAATAAAATAAAATGTTTATTTAGGTAAGGTACATACATACAATAAATTTTTACAAAGAATGGTTGACTTATAGGTAGAGCTAGTACATACAATGCCTAAAGCCACTATTACGCAAAGCGTTTCGGGCATGATAAACTTATATGACAAGCTTAATACTAATTGAGCATAATGAGTAGAATGAAAACATAGATGAAAAAGCAGCACAAATACAATTATGTCGACAAACAGCGCTCTTTAAAAAAAACAGACATTGGTTGACAATAGAAGGGTAAGGTAGGTTACAGGGAATTTATTAGGTATAGCTTCGTTTTTAACTTAAACTGGTTGAGAGAGGTACAGTCTTTAACATGGTTGGGAAGGTCATTCCACATTCTGGGCCCCTTGATTTGTAGAGCATTTCTAGTTTGATTAAGTCGTACTCTAGGAATATCAAAACTGTATTTATTTCTGGTGTGGTGCTCATGGGTTCTGTTACATCC